TCTGGATGCGTGTTAAATTTGTTATCCACCGCCACATACGGCACATTCCGCTGCTCTCGTCACGGCATCTTAAGAATATTACGATTTGTGTTACTTAAATCTGCCTGTTCTGTCGACTTAAAAGCAGATATACAGCATGAGAGATGTTATGTTGGTGTTTTTTCTTTCACTAACTCACATTTCTTTCCTTTAAGCTAATGCTAAGAATTATAGCTCATACTGTGTGTTTGGAAAATTGGCAACACACTCACAGGTTATGAATTACCTACTTGAATTTTCACCTCAAGGTGTTTTGGGTGCAATTGCTTTCAAGACTTGTCTTAGCTCGAGGTTATCTGCTTCAACTTATTAATAAACACCATCCTTACTGGCAGCTCACCACTAACTACCAATCATCTCTTTAGATCCCATGTCTGTACTGCATTGTGATGCTTGTTCCAACAGGAAGTTCTTTAAACAGGAATGTAAAGGAAGTCTCCAGGGACCAATAGGGATCTCCAGGAGATGCAGGAGGACAACCACATACAAAGATGCCTCAGAGAATTGAATAGTGTCCCAAATGTACAGTAGTCTTTGTTAAACATGGTGCATAAGCGTCACAAACCATCAAATGTTCAAAATGGAAAACGAATCATCAATCTATTAATTATTTGGCTATCCACATTTCTTTATATTGGTTGTAATCAATTTGCAATAAATATTATGAAACTGGGAAAAATAAGTGGAACATACTATGATTACAGTACAGTAGGCTTATACCAGCGGTTATGGGAAATTAGATTTCCCTTTGTATGATGAACCAGATGTAGGTAACTGTTCTCAACCATTATTCTGTGACCAATTGGGTGCAAAAAACAGACAGTTACTCCATTCTGACCATACTGAAACCACACATTAAACCATGTGCTGTATTCTAACAGTGTGTCAAATGAAGTAGTTAATGTATGAACCAAGAGTAAAATCCATCAAATGTCTTTTTTTTAAAATAAAGATTGCCGTTCCTATGTAAATATTATGAAGACAGTATGTCAGGCCACCTCAAGTATTATTACATTCACATTTTAGTCATTTAGCAGACGCTCTTATCCAGAGCGACTTACAGTTAGTGAGGGCATACATTTTTCATACTGGCCCCCCGTGGGAACCGAACCCACAACCCTGGCGTTGCAAGCGCCATGCTCTACCAACTGAGCTACAGGAGGCCACTTACTGTACACATCAACATGCTAGCAACATCACAAAACAAAGAGTACTTACTCACAGGGATGTAAGTAGTCTTATACAATCTGAACTAATCATGAGGTGCCGCAGTGGATCGCAGGTCTGCATACCCCCCACCCCGTTGCAGTTTTAATGTACGATTGCTGTAATTCTACACATTTTGACATGGGGCAGAGAGAAGATTTAGTAATTGTATAACGAATTTCATGCAATTCTACACATTTTGCAATAGGGTGGAGGGAAATGTTAGCTTTTTTTATATGATAGCTGAGTGAGAGTGACTAACAAAATCAATGGGGTAATTCAACCATGATTACAACAAGTTTAGATAGCTGGCCGCTAGACTAACTTACTGATCAATTGTTATTTTTTTTGCTGACATGGGCTAATTGTCTGTCTGTCACTGTCACTGTCTGTGACTGACATAACAAGACAAAAACTGCTGATGCACAACCAAATAGCGAAATCGCAAAATTATATTCTACTATTCTAACTCTAAACAGTAAATTGAGACACAGACTAAAAATTCATCCGTGGGCCTACATAAGGGGGGCCACCAGTTGCCCATCCTTGCATTAGGCCGCTCTCTAATAGTCCAAATGGCATAAAGCAGGGATCATTCAGCCACAATAAATAAATAATAATGAACACAAAAATGATGCTTTTTATTATTTCGCATTTAAAGAAATCCTATAGCTTAACTTCATTTCTTTCACTTCATTAAAAAGCTTTCCAAACAACAACATAGTTCAGTTTCTCGTTCTGTTTATCAAATGGAATCTCGTACCAAAAAGTCAGTTTGTGGTTTACAGTACAGTATTCCATTACTGTGGGAGGGTTGACAAATGACACACTCAGTATTCCATCTGTTGCAAGAGGCCATCATCATCTTCTTCTGTAAAGTAGAGTAAAGATGACATAGTTCATGTGTTCTCTACTGGTGTTGTTACTCGGGGCATGGTTTAGTAGTGACTGTATAGTACTTCCTGTTGTGCATTTCTTCCATCATATTCCAGTTGTGTAGACATTTACTACACCATTAATTTCAGGGTGTAACATGGTCCTTATAATAACAACAATAATAATAATAATAATAATAATAATAATAATAATAATAATAACAATAATACTAAATGTATAAATAGTAATATAGCTTAAATAATAGACATAGTTTCTCCAATGGTATGAAAGTAACATGTCTACAATAGTGATGTTGATCATCAAACATTGTGCCAAATATTATAATTCCAAGAAAGGACTTTCTAGTTATGTTACTGTGGTTTACTCTCATGTTGCATACTCAGAGGTATTTAATATGCTCTTTGAAATGTGACAGTGCAGTTACCAAATGTAGCACATCAACAGTGCAGCCATATGTTGGAGTTTTTAGTCTTCATTTATATTCTAGTAGCGTCTCAGTAGGGAAACAGTTGAACTGTGCTCACAAAAATTGATATGTTGCTTTACAACTCCCTAATAGTTATATGTTGCTTTACAACTCCCTAATAATTCCTTGGTTGGGCAAGCGCTTTGCCTGTTTAATCTCAGAAAGACTATGAGCAACATATAAAGTGACCTGTTGTTGACTATAGTTTTGCATGTTGTTTTCATATATTAATACTGATCAAACTAACTGAAAGCCCTATGTAAATGTCTAATACAACAGATACAATCATATATTCTATCAGAATTTATCATATTATTATTAATGTTATCATTATTTCCCCAAAACATGTACCTTTGTTTCTAGTGGTGCACTCATTACAGGAGTAACTAGTAGATCAGAAGAATCCCCACTCAACACACTCAAGGCAACAGCTCTGAAAATGTATGCAGCACTGCGAGGAGAGGGGTGCAGCAAAAGCGAATGTTTAGTGGTTAACAAATTACATAGAGCACCATGTTGGTGCAAGATCACCTCCATATACAAAAATACTACTTACTGTGTGTAGGATTACACTTACACATACGTCTAATCTCAGCTGCAACAATCGGTCTTTCACTTGAATGTGGTTGGCGTGTTCAGTTGGCTCTCAATTGCAACAACCATTTTCACATTTTCTCGGAGTTAAGAAGTGAAGCGGAAGCTTTTTCAGGAGACAAACTGGATTCTGTGTCACTTTAAGCAGCCTTTTAATGCCAATGTAACTCTCTCATAAGAATGACTAAAAGCCTGTCATGAGATATTAAGAGAACAGACATCATACTATGGTTACCAAGATGACTAATGGGTGAATCGTATACCATATAGGTTCAACCTATATTGAAAAATGTAGCCTACTACTGCATGTTTCAATTGGTTTCCATTGACCTCCAAGACCTCGATATATGATTTATTTATTTATTTATTTATGTGAATGACACATGGCTAGACAATTGTACACATTATATCAAACTAAGCAAAAAATAATTGACGACAGTTTAAATGCACAAAGCTTTAAATGGTATTAACACATGAAAGGTACACTGTAAAAAGGTGGTTTGTAGAATTGTCATACAACCAAATACTATTATCATACATTTCTGTTACACTAAACCAAAGATGGTGGTTGAATCCACCGACTGAATGCCATTTCAAAGACAGGCATTTAATCACCCTTTTGACAGTATTATGTGGCATCAAAATGGTCACCATGAGAAAGGAGTTCATATCAAATTCCCCACTTATAGCAAATATCTTGCCACTGATCTGTTGTTTTACACTTTGTCAACATTTCCCGTTGCCCATACAATTCTTTGCAAGATATTAGCTCACTGTTGATGTGTTTTGTTATTTCACCTAAATTTGCTGATGACACATGCTGGCACCTGAAGCTCATTTTAATAATCAAGTAGCCTGCTGGAATATATGGAATATACTCTCAAAACAAACAAGAACAGAATTGTCCAGTTATCATCACTGCAGAGGGAGTGAAACACAGACAAAAGCTTGTCAAACAGAAAACTGTGGGACCTCTCCTACGATTTTCCAATATTCATGGAAGCCAAATTCATAGAATCACAATGAGTGTTGCAATTGAGCCCTTATGTTTTGGAGAAGTAGCCAAACTCAAAACATATGTATCGTATAATCAACCTTCACAATCACCACCCCTGATTATTCACAAAACAAACTATTACAGCTCATACATCCTCCAAAATATCTCTGCATTGGAATCTGCAATGTTACATATTCAAATGAAAATATACTTATAGAATTTGTGAATTTTCACAGTAATTTGTACTGTACTGTACCTTTTGTCCTTCAATTTCTGCCTACCTACGGCCTCAAGGGAGACTATTGAGTTTATATCAGAGAGTCTTTCGCAAGTGTTTTCTGTAAAAGAGAAATGTCTAGTATTTTTTCCTGTAATGTCTCATAACTCAAACGTCAATGTGGTAAGTGCTGTGCATGTCTTAAGTCTTGACTGACTTGCCAACAAAGACTTAGGGGATTGAGCAACAGTACTTGGAAAGGTTACTTATTCTATGTGAATACAACTCGTAGAAACTGCAAGAAACATTTGCTTTGGCACAGATTTACATTGTAGCGATGTTCGATTTTTAACTCCATTGCCGTGACCGTTACTCCAAACACAAGTGGCCCATTGTGGTAATCCTTGGCTCAGTACACTTTAGCTGACCAGTCTATGTGTTTGTGTATTGCGGTGTCAGTCTATCCTCTCTCTTGGTGTAATGTTAATGCACTGTAGTGTCTAATCATTCAGTGCGTAAACCAGCCATCAATCCCCTCTCTCTTTCCCTTGCACTCTCTCTCTCTCTCTCCTCACTCTTTGTTCTCAAATTTGAGTCTCTTGAACGTTTTCCTTTGAGTTTCCCTTGAACAGAAGAGGCTCCATTTGTGGATTCTGGTTCTGGACCATGAAACCCTTGATCGATCCGTGTAATCCCATGGGGGGCATGGGGAGGGACATTGGCAGAGGTGGGGAAACAGAAAGAGGGTTGGTGTTGGTGCCGTTTCCAGACATGGTCTGGAAAGTGGCTGAGGAGATTGGGACCTGTGTACAGGAGATCGGGATATCCTGGCCTTGCTGGTTAAGTGGAGACGGATTGTTCTTGTTGCTTAGAGTACCGACTCCTGCCCCTGTCCCAATGCTCAGACCCATCACGTTGTTGTTGAAATGATTGGCCTTGTAGTAATGGTTAAGATGCTCTGATCGCCCGAAGTTGGGAAGGTTGACTATTTCCGGGTGATGCATCCTCAATGTTCCGTCTCCTCCGCACCCGGATTGCATGGTCGATCCCCCTGAGATGCCGCTCCCGGCCCCGGCACCAATCTCGTCTTCCACGTTGATGATCTCGATGGCGCGGGTGGGGCCATGGTGCTTGTGCAGCTGGTGCTGCTTCCTCAGCTTGTAGAAGACCACCAGCATCACGGCTGCCATGAAGGTGATGGCCACAAAGCAGCCGATGATGATCTTGGTGGTCTTCATCACGTCGTCCAGGCCAGTGATGTTTGTGACGTCCATTATCGACACTGTGACTGTATTTTCAGTATTTCTGGTGGCTCGCGGGGAGAAAGAGGAGAGAGAAGAGCGAGATGGAGATATGGTGAATCCAGCCCTGCCTTTACCCAGTACCCCTCCTGAAAAAGTGGGACCCAGGTAATCTGGCGGTACGTAGGTTTCGTTGATGTACTGCCTCCCAGCATCCTCACCATTGTTTGTTTCCACAGTTTCAACAGTGACAGTGGTGAAGAAGCTGTAGGGGTTGCTGGAGTCGGAGGAGGACACGTTGAGCACTGCAGTCGCCGTGGTGTTGCCGGCGGAGTTGGTCACCATGCAGGTGTATTGGCCTGTGTCCTGCACAGTCACGTTGGTGAAATTCAGGGTGCCGTCATGAAGGACTGAGATCCTGACGCGGTACGATCCGTGGGTCATGAGGGTGCCATTTGGGGTGAGCCAGTTGACAGACGTCATGGAGGTGCCAGTGCGACACTTCAGCTCCGCGGCCATACCCTCTGTGACATTGAGGTCGGTGGGTGGCTCTACGATGACGGGAGCGTAGCATGTGAAGTGGCTCTGGTCCAGCTCACCAATGTACCGGCCCTTCAGGACTGGTGGCGCGTGGCAGCGGGCGCAGCATGTGGTGTTACTGGGCACCGTCTCCTTGAGCCACCAGCTGAGCCACAGGACATCGCAGTTGCACACCCAGGGGTTGTGGTTGAGGTGCACCCGCTCCAACTGGTGCAGTGGAGTGAAGAGGTCGTGGGGCAGCGAATGCAGAGAGTTGTGGGACAGGTTGAGCTCCTCCAGGTTCTTCAGGTCGTCGAAGGCATTGCGCTCAATGACCGTCACCTTGGAGTGCATGAGCCACAGTTTGCGCAGCGACACCAGGCCCTGGAAGGAGCCCGGCCTGACGAGCCCCAGTTGGTTTCCCGACAGCTCCAGCTCCTCCAGTCTCACCAAGGGCGTGAGGTTGGGGATGTCCTTCAGGCCGCACATGCCCAGGTTCAGGAAGCGCAAGTTGACCAGGCCCTCAAAGGCGGCCTCGGAGATGTAGTCCAGCTTCCTGAGTTCGCCCAGGTCGAGCCGGCGCAGGGAGGGAACGCGGTGAAAGGCGTACGCTGGCAGTGTCTCGATGGGGTTGTTCCGTAGCCAGAGCTCCCGCAGTTTGCTGAGGTACTCAAAGGCCTGTGACGGTACCAGCGTGAGGCGATTGTCAAAGAGCTCCAGGGTGTTGAGGTTTGGCAGGCCATTGAACGCGCCCACCTCAATTTGTCGGATGTGGTTCTTGGAGAGCTGCAGTATTTCCAAATGCCGCAGGTGCTTGAACGTGTCTGACTTTATCACCTGTTGAGATATATAAAAACATGCTGGTACATTGTAGCCACATGAAACCTCTCTGCCGTAAAGCATACTCTGTTCATATGCGTACATGTATGGATTGTGGGTAAATGTAATAAGAGAAAGGCATATTTACCTGAATCGTGTTCTCTTGTAAGTTGAGGTATCTTGTGTTCACAGAAATACTGTCCGGTACGTCCTCTAAACTCTTCCTTGTACAGATGACTCGGCTTGCCTGATTGGAGCAGCTACAGGGGTTGGGACATGGGGGCACGGCCTCTGTCAGCTGAGGTCCATGGTGGTGAAGCCACAGCAAAAGCTGGACCAACCAGAGGAGGGGGGAGGGGGTGGAGGGGCTGGTCACCATGACAACATGCATGTCAAATTAGTCATGACCCAACCTTAGTTCTAATATGTTGATAAATCACCTCCAATACAAGACAATTAAGTGGTTATTTTGATGTTCATTTTACCAATTCTCTTTCAAGTCGTTTTAAAAATCATGAAGAACTGTTAGATATTAAATGTTCTCTTGATTGATCATATATATTTCCTCACTTGACTTTGTTCATGTCAGTTTAAATATGAAATGCCTTCAATTTTTCAGCATATCTTTTTAGGGAATTAATAATTGTCCCATGACAATTATTAAAATAACAAAGGAGATGTTTGGTGAATCAGCTCTTGAAAGGGGTGTCTCTATGGAGGGTAGATGCTCCTCACTGTAGGGGGGAGAGAGAGAGAGAGAGAGAGAGAGAGAGAGAGAGAGAGAGAGAGAGAGAGAGAGAGAGAGAGAGAGAGAGAGAGAGAGAGAGAGAGAGAGAGAGCGAGAGAGAGAGCGGGAGAGAGAGAGAGAGAAAGGGGGATCAGACAACTGAACAAGGCATGAGTACTGACACATTAGCGCTGTAACTGTAGAACCTCTGTAAAATCTCTGTGGGCACTGAAACGTTTAATCATGTGGGATATAATTGCAAGATTGATGGTCAATAGATAATATGCATGGAAAGCATGTCAACTTTCAGGTTTACACTAGAGCATTGCTTCTCATAAATTAGTCTCTAGAGACTACTGATGAGTCACCTACTATTTCATTCATAGGTCGAGGTAAACATTTTGGTCAAGGCTTGATACTTTGTTCAAAAGGAGGATCACACAATTCTAAAAAGCTACTTGAGAGCTAAGGTGTACCACAACTCAAAGTACCACAGGCCTAGAGCAAAGTAAATATTGGTAATTAAATAAATGTAGTGTATGATTCATTACTCAATGATGAAAGAAAAACAAACTCCTTTGGTATTTATGAGCTTACTCATACACACGGTAATGTATGCTGTCATTTCTCTTTGCTTATTTGAGCTGTTCTTGCCATAATATGGACTTGGTCTTTTACCAAATAGGGCTATCTTCTCTATACCACCCCTACCTTGTCACAACACAACTGATTGGCTCAAACACATTAAGAAGGAAATAAATTCCACAAATTAACTTATAAGAAGGCACACCTGTTAATGTAAATGAATTCCAGGTGACTACCTCATGAAGCTGGTTGAGAGAATGTCAAGAGTGTGCAAAGCTGTCATCAAGGCAAAGGGTGGCTATTTGAAGAATCTCAAATATAAAATATATTTTGATTTGTTTAACACTTTTTTGGTAACTACATGATTCCATATGTGTTATTTCATAGTAGAATTTAGAAAATAGTAAAAAATAAAGAAAAACCCTGGAATGAGTAGGTGTGTCCAAACTTTTGACTGGTACTGTATATATATATTTTTGCTGCTATTCCAGTTTCAACTGTTCTGCCTGCGGTTACGAAACCCCTACCTGTCCCAGACCTGCTGTTTTCAACTCTTAATGATCGGCTATGAAAAGCCAACTGAGAGACCTGAGCCCTAGGACCATACGTCGGGACTACCGGCCGTGGTGACTCCTTGCTGTCCCCAGTCCGCCTGGCCTTGCTGCTATTCCAGTTTCAACTGTTCTGCCTGCGGTTATGGAACCCCTACCTGTCCCAGACCTGCTGTTTTCAACTCTTAATGATCGGCTATGAAAAGCCAACTGAGATTTATTCCTGATTATTATTTGACCATGCTTGTCACTTATGAACATTGAACATCTTGGCATGGTTCTGTTATAATCTCCACCCGGCACAGCCAGAAGAGGACTGGCCACCCCTCATAGCCTGGTTCCTCTCTAGGTTTCTTCCTAGGTTTTGGCCTTTCTAGGGAGTTTTTCCTAGCCACCGTGCTTCTACACCTGCATTACTAGCTGTTTGGGGTTTTAGGCTGGGTTTCTGTACAGCACTTCGAGATATTAGCTGATGTACGAAGGGCTATATAAAATAAAATTGATTGATTGATTGATTGATAGAGAAAAGGTATTTGCAGGAAAGATAAACTTGTCTGTGACTTGAACTCTGTGAAGCATTTATTTGGGCTGCAATTTCTGAGGCTGGTAACTTTAATGAACTTATCCTCTGCAGCAAAGGTAACTCTGGGTCTTCCATTCCTGTGGTGGTCCTCATGAGAGCCAGTTTCATCATAGCGCTTGATTGGTTTTGCGACAGCACTTGAAGAAACTTTCAAAGTTCTTGAAATGTTCCGTATTGACTGACCTTCATGTCTTAAAGTAATGATGGACTGTCATTTCTCTTTGCTTATTTGAGCTGTTCTTGCCATAATATGGACTTGGTCTTTTACCAAATAGGGCTATCTTCTCTATACCACCCCTACCTTGTCACAACACAACTGATTGGCTCAAACACATTAAGAAGGAAATAAATTCCACAAATTAACTTATAAGAAGGCACACCTGTTAATGTAAATGAATTCCAGGTGACTACCTCATGAAGCTGGTTGAGAGAATGTCAAGAGTGTGCAAAGCTGTCATCAAGGCAAAGGGTGGCTATTTGAAGAATCTCAAATATAAAATATATTTTGATTTGTTTTAAACACTTTTTTGGTAACTACATGATTCCATATGTGTTATTTCATAGTAGAATTTAGAAAATAGTAAAAATAAAGAAAAACCCTGGAATGAGTAGGTGTGTCCAAACTTTTGACTGGTACTGTATATATATATTTTTTATCCAGTAGGGTAAACACTCCAAACAGCCTACCCGACCGCTCGAAGGCGTCCGCATGGTCCTAAATCACACCGTTGCCTCGTTTTGTATCACATTCCAATGATAAAACTGGGGGGGACAAAAAAGCAATTTCAGAATGTGGGGGCCCCGTCCCCAGTGATAGTTGCGCTGAGGGGTACTGCCACACCCAAGTGTAACTCAGTTATCTGCACCTCTCCAGACTGGTCTGCATCCTCCAATAGGCCTATAGGGTTGGACTGGGGTGCAAGAACCTGAGTTAAACTTGAGGGACCCCCTAGTCTTGCTTCTACAGTCGTGGTCAAAAGTTTTGAGAATGACACAAATATTAATTTTCACAAAGTCTGCTGCCTCAATTTTTATGATGGCAATTTGCATCTACTCCAGAATGTTATGAAGAGTGATCAGATGAATTGCAAGTAATTGCAAAGTCCCTCTTAGCCATGAAAATGAACTTAATTCCCAAAAAACTTTTCCACTGCATTTCAGCCCTGCCACAAAAGGACCAGCTGACATTATGTCAGTAATTCTCTCGTTAACACAGGTGAGAGTGTTGACGAGGACAAGGCTGGAGATCACTCTGTCATGCTGATTGAGTTAGAATAACAGACTGGAAGCTTTAAAAGGAGGGTGGTGTTTGAAATCATTGTTCTTCCTCTGTTAACCATGGTTACCTGCAAGAAAACACGTGCCGTCATCATTGCTTTGCACAAAAAGTGCTTCACAGGCAAGGATATTGCTGCTAGTAAGATTGCACCTAAATCAACCATTTATCGGATCATCAAGAACTTCAAGGAGAGAGGTTCAATTGTTGTGAAGAAGGCTTTAGGGCGCCCAGCAAGCGCCAGGACCGTCTCCTAAAGTCCAGCAAGCGCCAGGACCGTCTCCTAAAGTTGATTCAGCTGCGGAATCGGGGCACCACCAGTGCAGAGCTTGCTCAGGAATGGCAGCAGGCAGGAGTGAGTACATCTGCACGCACAGTGAGGCGAAGACCTTTGGAGGATGGCCTGGTGTCAAGAAGGGCAGCGAGGAAGCCACTTCTCTCCAGGAAAAACATCAGGGACAGACTGATATTCTGCAAAAGGTACAGGGATTGGACTGCTGAGGACTGGGGTAAAGTCATTTTCTCTGATGAATCCCCTTCCCGATTGTTTGGGGCATCCGGAAAAAAGCTTGTCCGGAGAAGACAAGGTGAGCGCTACCATCAGTCCTGTGTCATGCCAACAGTAAAGCATCCTGAGACCATTCATGTGTGGGGTTGCTTCTCATCCAAGGGAGTGGGCTCACTCACAATTTTGCCTAAGAACACAGCCATGAATAAAGAATGGTACCAACACATCCTCCGAGAGCAACTTCTCCCAACCATCCAATAACAGTTTGGAGACGAACAATGCCTTTTCCAGCATGATGGAGCACCTTGCCATAAGGCAAAAGTGATTACTAAGTGGTTCAGGGAACAAAACATCGAAATTTGGGTCCATGGCCAGGAATCTCTCCAGACCTTAATCCCATTGAGAACTGGTGGTCAATCCTCAAGAGGCGGGTGGACAATCAAAAACCCACAAATTCTGACAAACTCCAAGCATTGATTATGCAAGAATGGGCTGCCATCAGTCAGGATGTGGCCCAGAAGTTAATTGACAGCATGCCAGGGCGGATTGCAGAGGTCTTGAAAAAGACCTTTGCATAAACGTAATTGAATTGTCAATAAAAGCCTTTGACACTTATGGAATGCTTGTAATTATACTTCAGTATAACATAGTAACATCTGACAAAAATATCTAAAAACACTGACGCAGCAAACTTTGTGAAGAATAATACTTGTGTCATTCTCAAAACGTTTGACCACGACTGTACACTTCCCTCCATATGTATTTAGGATTTTTAAATTTGGCTCTATACTCCAGCATTTTGGATTTGAGATCAAATGTTTAATATGAGGCGACAGTACGTAATGTCACCCTTTATTTGAGGGTATTTTCAAACATATCTGTTTGACCATTTAGAAATGAAAGCACTTTATGTATCTAGTCTAGTATTTGGTCCCATATTCCTTGCACACAATGTGACTACATCAAGCTTGTGACTCTACAAACTCGTTGGATGCATTTGCAATTTGTTTTGGTTGTGTTTTGGGTTATGTTTTGCCCAGTAGTAACTGAATGGTGAATGATGACTGGAGTAATGTTATTTCTAAGTGAGTAGATTAGATGTTTCTGAACACTTCTAGATTAATCCAGATAATGCCATGATTAAGAAAAACCATGAATGAA